AATAATAAATGAGATTAACACAATTTTTATTCTAGCCATTAGTATTATACATTTGAAAAGTCATCGTAACTTTGATTTCACTTAGAGGATAGCTTTAAATCAATTTCGGTTATTTAAAACAACCTTGTCTTATCAAAGATGCCTAAAGGATTAATAATTAATATACACATTATGATTATACACATTATATTAATAATGATTATATATACACATAAATATAGTTATCCGATTCATTTTGAAGGGTTCTTTAACCACTAATTCCCCTCCTTGACTATTGCTATATAATTGATTAAATAGAGATATTGACTATTGAATATATAATAGATATTGAAATAATAAATAGAGATTGAATGTGAAAAACTTGTGCCAAACATATTGCTTCGGATATTGATTCGGACAGTAGATGTAGCCGGTTTGGATGTCTACTACAACCATAGAACGATTTCATTCAATTGTCAAATGCATTTTTTCGAAAAAGTAATAGTGATGTTGTTAAATAAAATGGATTAAGTCAACCACATATCTCAGTTTAATTATCCCAGTCTAAGCATTAATTTTTATAAAATCCAGTTTTCTTGGAACATATTTGTTAATATCGATAATCATTAACGTCATATTTGTTTATGTTTAAGTTATCACAAAGTAACTCATAAAGTTAAAGGGTTATAAGGGTTAAAAGATTAGGTTATAGTAGGTAAAAATTTTACTAATATGTGTACCAATATATTATTTAAGCCATATCGACAGTTCATTGATACGTAAGTTTTGCAGCCGTTCAAAAAAAGTAATTTTAATACTTTGCACTTTGAAACAGAACAGTCACGTTTTGTACCGATTAGTACTTTCTTCTGAGTATTTTTTTTTTGCATATATTATAAAATTACTTAAGAATTGAATGAATCATACTGTATTATTATTATGAACTCTTTTACGAAATTTTGAAATCAAGAATATAAGAAACGCTTAATTTTTTTAACTTTTAACTGTAAATTATAATCATAACATAATTAAAAAAATATATACCAAATTTAGATTTGTGCCATGACAAGCTAAGAGTTAATGTATAGTTTACTTACATCATAATATATAATATTAATTACATATATTATATATAAAAGTATGGTAAAATTTTTATTCGTGACTATATGTATCCTAAAAGGCCCATATAGACCTTCAAGCTGTAGACGGTTACAAATAAGTGATGAGCAGAATTTTCAGACAAATTTTGAACTTTCGTACTTACATTGAGAGTATAAAGGAGAATATGAACTGCCTGTATGGGTGCTAAAATAAATGAGTTTCGAACCTTCAAGCTATTGACGATTTCAGGGGAATGATGAGGTTAATTTGCTGGCGAATGATAAGCCCACATGCATATGTGAGCACAGTAAAGGAACAGGAATAACATGGAATCGTCGTTGGGATTAAATAAAATGTACCTATTATCGAAATATATTAATGAAACATCTTTAACGCTATATAATAAAATCAGACATTACAAAGTCACTATTATAGCACAAAATGAGCTTGCACACTTACTGATTTTAATGTTAAGATATATTATTCATCATAATTTTTTTTTTTTTATTCATTAATGAACTATTTTTATCCCATCTGACATACATTATACAAAACCACATGCAATCTGTATTTACCAATATGTTGTACAAACAATGGCCAATGTGTTAGCTAACTACACTTAATAAAATATAAGAATAAGAATAATTTATGTTGGATAGCATAAAAAAAAATGAAATATGTATTTTAAAATTTCAGTTTTATAGAAAGTTTTAATACATACAATAATTATTAACAATAACAATAATTATTACATATGCAAAATTCCTTTATAGTTGTATAACAATAAATAAAACATTAACAACTGGAACTGCAGGGACTAATTTTTCTTATTAATGGACCTAATATTTACTTACATTCATACTGGAGTATGAATGTTTCCTCGCCTTCTCAAGGAAACGTTCTTCATGCACTTCTTCCTTTATGGCCATTTTTCAACCACAACAGGTCATTATTATTACTTAAGTGAGCTTTGGTGCACTAGGCTGTCACTTCAACTTAACCTAACATATTTACAAATCTGTGTATTAAAAAATAATTCAAACAATACTGAAGCCATCGTGAAGCAGCACCAATTGTCAAAGCAATAAATAAATAGCAGAAAATACAAATAACATTTTTCATAAAAATTTAAAATTTTTATGAAATAAACATTTTCTCTGTAGAACTTTTAAATAAAATGATTTAAATGTTAAGATATATTATATATCCCACATGTTTTTTTTATTCATTAATGGACTATTTTCATCCCACCCGACATACATTATACAAATATCGTATCGAGAGAATCGCAAGTTAAATATAAATTAAATTTGATATTAAAATTCTAATTCAGTAAAAGTCTGGGCAGTGTCAATGATACTATCAATGACGCACCTACTGCGTATTTAACCTAATTTAACCGACATTGTTTGCTTAACTTCATGCCACCAAAATCCATCTGAAATTTGCATCAGCCAAAATGTTCAAATAAGTTAAAACGCAAATGTTTTGTAGATAAAAGTGATAAGCAGAAAGTGCTTATTGTTTCGTAGTCTGTAACTGATTTCGATTTTATCAAGTGGCAATTAGTACTACATTATCTGCAGATATAACATATATTTTACTAATATAATTGAGTAATAAACTCAATAATAAAAAGATTTTGTTGAATTACTTAAAAATTCAAAATATTTCAAATGCTAAACACGTGAGCATCTGCCACTGCCTGACAACAGTTGAGATACTTTATCGCCCACAAGAAACCGGCGGGGCGAGTTTCTTACTTCAGCATTGAACTTTTTACTGTGACGTGTTATGCGATGAATGCTTCTTCAATGACTAAGCGAGTTGATTCAATTCTGTTTCGCTTTGGGAAATTATAGCGTGATTCATTCAAAAGCCAAAACCATTCGATTGAATCTATCGAAAAAAAGTATTGTTAACAAGTAATGGAGGTGTGTCTGAATAAAAAAAAGGCAGGAAAGTAGTGGGAATTTTTATATACATTTTCCGGCTAAGTTGAAGAAAACTTAACAAAATTGCGAATCTATTGATAACAAACAATATTATTGAGTATATTTTACTTGATATTAATGCTTCATGTTAGATTTATATGTTTGGATTTGAACTAAATGAATAAACTATTTGTCACATGTCTATATCTTCCACTAGAACTAACTATTTGCGCTTATACTAATTCAATCATTAATTTACATTAAGATAATTTTATTTATTTTCTTATTTACACTCTATTACATGAACTAATATAATTATGATTTATTAACGTAAAAGCTTTAAATAAATTTACATTTTTCCTATTATAAATTTAATAGTTAAAAATATGATTTTTATTTTTAAACTTATTAATTTTATTAACCTTGTAAGGTCAGAGTCTTTAGTTAGTTCAAGTTTTTAAACACTATTAGTACTTTAACCACAGTTTCCTCATTAACACACTCAGTTTACAAATTATTTAATTTAACAATAACAATAACTCATTTGTATTTATTGTAAACTTTACACATTTTTCACACTTCTAAGATAAGATTTTGTGAGCAAGCATTCACTCTATTCATTTGCTATTCGCAAAATAATAACGCAAGAAATTCATATACATGATATATGATATAACAAAAATGAAAGCAAAAACAAATTCTGTATGTAGTGTTTTTTTCTGTTTTCGATTCAAATAAATATTTAAGTGTTCAGTTATTCAAAAACTATTTACTTGTGTTAATCACATACATATATTCGCTTTGTAATTTAGCATGGGATTGTAGATATAATAAAAGTCTGAAGAAGGAAAATATGTATTTAGAAGATTGATTATCTCTTATCATTTCTGTAATATCGAATATTTAGCTTGAAATCGTACAGGCGAGTAAATAATTACATTTCAGCAGATTGTATAAATTTATGGTATAATGCAGCTTAGAGAATAAGATCAACTTATAAAGGGATGTAATGTAAATAGCCACTATGCATCATATGGTCTCGGTCAATGCGAATAATAGCTTGTTAAAGAAACTTCACAACATTCAATTTTAGGGTGCACTGAATACATAACTATAAAAATCTGTCCACATTTAAAAATAAATATATGTAAAAAAAAAGTTATATATAGCCATAGACTGCGTCAAAATAATCTAGCCGATTTGGTTTGAGAGTCAAGTGCAGTATGAAGCTTACTATAAGCTGTGCAGTCAAATGGTGATAAAGATATAAAGAAAATTGAATAGAATATATGTTAATAATAAGAAATAAGTACAAATTAAAAATGTAAGGTTCTAATTTTCCCCAATGTTTTATATCAATGTAGAATTAGTCATTCTTCTTTTGCGTAAACATCTCATTAGATATGAACTGTTCTAAATAAAATGTTAAGTATCTTATTTGTCAATGATTCATTGCAGACCAAATGAAAATCAAAACTCTTCAAATTCTATACAAATGACAAGTATACAGTTTTAATATAAAATTTATATCACTTTAACAATTTTTATATAATTTTAAATTATATCATCTACATTTTAATGTGACGTTAAGTTGTGAGGAGGCGTGTTAATATAAATATCAACATATCCATTTGGGAATATTTTTTGCCCAAAGCGTTGCTCTCCAAATTCAAAAGGTTGAGGGAGATGGCAAACATATTAATGCCTACAACGCCTCTATTATTTTATGAAGGCATTACAAATTTTACATAAAAACATATTATTTAACAACTAACATATATATTTTAAAATTAGATTGATTTGATAGGGAACCTGCTAATATAAATATCAACACTTCTACTTAAAGATATCTCGTGCACATTGCGATGCCCTCAAAGTTCAAAAGATTGGATTCCATGTGGTACTCTTATTACAACATTTCGTTCTCCAGCTAAAGTAAGAGAGTCCCAATAGGTCTACAGTTGTTATTTCTGCCAGTTTAATAAAAAACGACATTGAACCACTTCTAGATATTTAACTCACTACGTCTTCGTCTACAGTCCAGGCCAAAAACAGAAAGAGACAGTTGGCT